GTATGAAGCTAGTCAAGAATTGTTGTTTGTTTAGTTTTTTTATTATAGAAAAACCAATTTAGTTAGCTGAAAAAATCAAAGATGTTTGCGTTTGTTGCACAGACAAGCTGATTAAATTCTTGGATGAAATAAGGGCACTAAACCATTTTTTGAAACAAGTATGTATTCTTTATTTACATGAATTTAAAAAACTTTCAGCGCTTTCAACCTACCGCCACAAATTTAATAGAAGGCCGTGTCGAAATTACAACTTTTTAGTCACGCAATTTTACTTTCTACTTTGCCGCTATTTTTCTTTAGCTTCCCAACTTTTACCAAGTATATGGTGATATAAAGGTGATACAGATCTTTGACAGCAATTGTTTGTGATATATTAATTATTTTATATTCCTTTTTAAGGCAATTGGTACTACAGGCTTTAGCGAACTTAGACATGGAGCGATACTTAGTTGAACAAAAAAAAAAAAATCATCATGAGTTATGAGGCAAATTTTCAACTAAACGGATACCTTATCAAGCAAAGCTGTGCCCACTGCAAGAACAACAAGTCACTATTTGGTGTGATTTTTGGGCTGGCATAGCCTTCGGATCGTACTTCTTCGAAAATGATGCCGATAATGTTGTTACGTTGAACGGTGAATGTCATCGCGACATGATTACAAACTTTTTATGGCCTGAATTAGATAGCATAAACCTGGAAAATATCTTTCAACCGAAAGCTGCCAATTGCCAAACCGCGCATGAAACAATGGCCCTATTGAGAATATCTGTGTTCTTATTGAAACACCCTGTACATGTTTCTGAATATGTCTACCCCCTTTTACATACTTTGGAGAAATATGTATGTATATTTGAAACATTTGTAGATCCATAAAAATTCAGTACTTACTGCCTAAATGTTTTTTTAAATAATAAGCGAAAATAAAAACTATCCTCTCACAAAGTATTTGAAACACTAAATTTCTTTTTATTGTTTTTAATATTTAATCAGATTTTTAAATTTTCATATATGTATATTTTTTGTTTTTGATTTACATATACATATGTATTTGATTACACAAGAAAACTCATATAAGGTATACATTTTACTGTTAATTAATGGCTGTCATTGTTGGTGTTTTTTTTTTTATTGCTGATGCATGTACTTACATGCATAAATGTACAATTTCTGAAAAATTATTAATTATTGTTTATTGTGGCTTACTTTATTCCTTTTTTATTTCGGTTTTACGCAAGTTTACACAAAGTGTTGCAAAGTATGTACTTGTAGAAGTATTTTTGGTAGAAGTTTCGTTTATATGGCTGTATGTATAGTATTTGTTTCGTATGCAGATGCGTATGTATTTAATTATTGTGTGTATATATGTATATAGTATCTATGTATGTATGTATATACGAAAGTATGTATGCATATAATTATGCGCTCATAAGTATTTTTAGTTAGGGCTAGTTGATCCATCTGAAAGTCACACATAGAAAACATTAGAGCCACTTCAACTTAATATGTATGTATGTACATACAAGCTGAAGTTTGCAATCTCATTTTGCAACATTAAATTCATTTCAAAAATTCTTAATATTTTCTTAATACTATAAAATCATTGATTTTGTTTTGAATAGTTCATTTACTTTTGATTATGATCTCTTCAATTAAATACATACTATGTTGCCAAGTTTCATTTGTTTACTAGTAAAATTTTTAGTAAGTATACATGGAAAAATTTAATTAAATTTACTTGTACGGAAGACAAAAATATATTTTTTGTACAAGTACTTATTATCTATTTTTTAATTTTTTTTTGTATGTACAATATTTTATTATATATGAGAATATCTAGAAGAAAATTTTTGTATTTATTTGAAACTAAATCGAATAGAAAAGTGTACCTAAAATTTTTATAATAATTGTTATACAGGTTGTTTTGAAAAGTGTTGTTTTAAACTATACTAATTATTAGCTCAAAATACAGCCTGTAGTTTTTGGAAGTAACTTTTTAAAATAAAACATGGTAAATTATATGAAGAAATAGTTTCAAACTCAATGCGAAGACATAAAGTGTTGCATGCGGAAGATTTTATGAATGTAAAAAAACTATGCTTTTCATCTAGAGCTACTCAATGTTAATAATAATTGCGAAAAGTATATAAACTCTAGCAATATTCCTTTAATGATTTTTCTTAAAGATAAGTATTATTAAGTTCACGTAAATGTAAAGTAATAAAGAAACTAATTTTAAGCAATTTTCATATTTATAGTTTTGTGACATAATCACTCTTATGACACCTTGTGAATGCCCTAAATAATTTTTTGTTTATGATTTAAGAATATCTGCCATTATAACGAATAAATATACATGAGTGTAATGAAATTAATACATATTTTTATATATACAGTTTTAAATAAAATAAATAACAAATCAAAAAGATCCGAATGCATAGGTAAGTAATCATAACCTTTTAAAGTACACAGAGAAAATAAATAAAAAGAAAAAAGTCCAACTAGAGAAGGTACGAGAAGGCATTAATAAAGGAAAATGTTTCGACAGCGTCGGTAAGTAGTCATTATATTTTGAAGCAAACAAATAAAATAAATAAAACGAAAAAAGCCTAATGCCTTTCACAGCATCGGTAAGTAATCATTACATTTTAAAGCAAACAAATAAAAATATAAAACGTCTCACTACAGAAGGTGTCAGAACTTCATGCTATAAATGTCATAAAGCACAGAAAAAGTCATAAATTTGAGCCACTAACAAAAAGCGAAAGAAAAAAGCATGCGATTAAAAAATCTAAAATTCTTAAAAATTTCCCCGTGAATGTACATACATACATATACATATAATTCATTTTGATTTAACTGTCTACTTTTTAGAAGCAACAGATACATCAATTATAATCCAAACAAAATTTGTGTAGGTATATAAGTAGGTTTTTCTAATTTAGTCACTTGTTTATAATTTCGTTTGAGAAATTCTACATACTTATATTAATTTATAAATTTTTGATATTTTTGATTTACACGAGTTTTTCATTTAAGAAATGGGCACTTTGGCAGATATTTATAGATAGGTTTTGATTTTGTATTTGTAAACAAATTAGATTTATTTATTTTTAGTTATAAAACTATTACTTATTAACTAAGTAAGGGAAGAATAATTTGACAAAAATTTATATTGTACAAACCAAAGCAAAAATATACATTTTTAATCAAAGTACACTTTGAAAAAAATTGCATAACTGAAAATTTTTGCAGTTTTTTCTTCAATCTTCTTCCCTTTTGTAAAGCTTTACTGAGCGCTTGTTTTCATACTATATATGTACAATGATTTTTCTTATTTTTTACTTAATACTTAAAAGACTTAGACAATACATACATAGTTTAAGCTAAGAAAATTTTTGTAGGGCTTACATGTCACTGGCGTAGTTCTCTAACTCAGAAAAAAATTTGGTAAAGCAACTTTTACCATTTGTCAGTTCGGGTACTTAACTATTGAATTTTTGGCGAATTTTTTTTAACAAGAAAAACTATTTTCTTAAACTAAGGTTACCATGTACGTAAAACGCTTTATTATTAGTTCAGAAGGAAAATAAAAAGATTAGACTTTAATCAATTTACTAATATGATTCATGGTTATCTTTTGAAAAAAGCAAAAATCGTGCACCAATTTTTTAGTCTTAAATTTCTTTTTCTTACATTGCGTTTCCACTTTCCCCAAATTGAGTAATTATGACCCTCATTCGCAAAATGGAATAATAACAGCTTCCATCATTCACTACTGACCCTTTGGTAAGTTCAAAATACTACTTGAACTGCTTTTTTTTAAATAAATATTTTATCTAATTCTTTTAGTTTTAACTATTTCTTCATCCTTACAATTCCTATAAGTTATTTGCAGCTTTTTAACATAATTTTCAATGGAATAGATGTGAAAATGGCTGCAACTAACTTAAGAATCGACATTATTTCGACTATNGTGACAAATAAATTTTAAAATATACTTGAGAAAACGGCCTTAAAGTCGAGTACATGAAATTGAGAAAAGGTTTTCTCGCCCAAATTGAGAGTCGTCTGGAGCTCGTGAAACCACAATTTAGTACATATTTACACACCTTATTTTTAGCTTGTTTTCTTGATTCATTTCCAATTCACTTTTGCAAAGTTTTTCTATACATATTTACATACTTAATATATTAAATTGGCCATTTTAGATTTTTTTTTATCTTTAATTATGCTAATGTTTTATATTTTATAATATTCAAAAACATATATTATTGAGAGATAGAAAATAAACTGAAGACAAATAATATTTTTAAATTATAAAACTATCCAATAGAGTTTCCAACACTGTTCCACTAGGCATTGCAATGAGAAAACTCGGGGGTTTAATGCCTGAATTTGGCATTTGAAAGGCCAGTGGAAATCCGGTATAAGTTTGCTGCACATGTAATTTTTTAAATGGCACAAATATTTTGTTATTTCAATACCTAAAGGAAATTCGGTATGGGCGAAGTAACAGCAAGAAAGTATGCGAAAAGTAAAAAGAGGCCATAGAAAATTATATTTTGCACAAAGAATAAGCTAGCAAAAACAAGAACATTTAAAAGAGAATGGCCCGTAGTCATAGTCAAAATAAAGTCGACTTTAAAGTTAGTTGCAGCTTTTTTGACAGATATCCCATTGAAAATTATGCAAAAAAGCTGCAACTAACTTTAAAGTCGACTTTATTTTGACTATGACTACGGGCCAATAAATATATTTAAACTAAAATATTTTTTTAATTGAAAAAAAAAAATTGTTATAATGCATTTATATTGATATATGCTTACTATTATATTTCTTCATATAGCACATAGTATATATATTTGTACATACATATATCTATTGGTTATATTGGCATGTATGTATATTCATATGTATGTAAATTAGTGGCAATTTCTATTTTCATGTAATTAAATTTAAACGAAACCTGCTGTTTTTAAAGGGCATTTGGTTTGGTTTGGATTTTGAGTTCAAAAAATGTATCACCACGGATATACATAGGTATGTAGATACAATAGCTTAGCAGCACTTAAGTAGCCGCTAAACTATACATAATATGTATACAATGCTATTGCATCGTTGTAAAACTATGACACTTTAAGAATTTTTTTTTTTTTTTACAATTATATACAACATATCTACATAACTATATCTAAGGGTAATCTACCTACAATCGGTATAAGAATATTGATTCATGTCACACCTAACCTAGAGACTTTCAAGTAAGTTTTAGTACTTAATACACTTAACCCAATATAGAAATACACATACATACATACACACATATGTACATATGTATATAATTAAAGTAGTTAAATGGTATATTACATATACGTTAGATACATCTATTATTACGAAGTACTTTATCTACACCCACATACTACTTCGTTTCGCTTATTTTCATTATACATACATATGTAGATGCATAGCTAAGTACATACGGCTTAATTACATTTCTCTGCCAGTCCGATAATATTTATTTCTCCGCATACCATTCGCGCTGCTACTCTTTAGAGTACTTGCAAATTCTCGCAATGTTTAAATTTCGAATCCTCTTTACCCAGTATCCAGGTGAGCATTTGGCGTGCTTTCATGCTGGCCAACACAACGCTACGACTCTTATACCAATGCGCTGGCGAGGAGGCGCCATCTCGATTGCCCTGAAATTGTTAAGGATTTGAGTAAAAGATTAAATTGCGATTACGTTGTAATTAAATGTAGTTTGAAGGGGTATGCATATATGTATTTACAGTTGTATGAATTTACTTTTACATACATGGGTATATTTTAATGAACTATACTTCAAATTAAAAAAAAAAACACTAAAAAAAATGATCTGAACGTCAGGATATTTGAAGGGGTAAAGTACGTACATATATTTTACACAATATTTCTATACATGTTTGCATGGAAGTTAGTTTTTAATAAAATGTATTTAATTTCAAAATGCACTCTCGCTAGGGCCGAAACTATTTATGAGCATGCAATACAGATCTTAGTGCCGGGTCCGTAAATACCCGCACATATTGGTCTGTTTTTTGACTTGCAAGCCCATTAGCACAGACTTCCTTAAAGTAGATTAATTTTGATTGGAGTCAAAAACCCCGACAAGTTTTATGTTCGAGACTCTTCCTTATTTTTGCGCGGACTGAAGTGAACGAGGTAAACTCGAGCTCTCTTCCCCCTCTTATCCACACAAAACCGGTTGTAGGCGGACTGAGCAGTCTAGTGTACAGAGGCCCATTAACCTTGAAAGGGCTAAGTAGCCGCTGCAACAACAGCAAGCAATCGGTATGAGCAACACTAAAATTTTTATCTAATAGCGGTAATGGAAATGCTTAATTATATTTCTATCATTAAAACCTCTCATAAGCAACCTGTAGTTGACAACATTAATAGGTTCTATACAAATGGGAAGAGAAACTAAGGCAAACACTTAGTAAAATATGTAAATATAGGTATTTTTACTTATATGCGCGCAAACATTTACAAAACGAATGAAAACTCCTTCTTTTGTACTAAGTGCTACGAGTATTTAATTTAAAAATCATGCAAATAACTTTTATATGAGTTTTTTTACAAACAGGGCTTGTATAATTAAAACGCTACTTATATGTATACATTAAGGTGGTGTTTAAAAAAACAACTTATGAATTTTGTATGGGACACATCTTTATGTTGTTCTACGTTCAAAATGAAGGCTTCCACGATATTTTCAAAATTTTAAAAAATTTTTTAGGGTTTGAAATTTTTTTATAACACAGAATTTGACAAAAAATTTGACTTTGACCAGCTATAACTCAGCTTGTTGAAACTTATTCATATAGGTTCATAAACTAGCTGGGTTATAGCCAGTCGAAGTCTAAATTTTGCAAAATTCTTGTGATCTAAAAATAAATTTATTATTATTTTTTAACCCTGGCAGCGACACACATTTTTCTTTTTTTTTAAATTGCAATTCTCGTGCATGTCTTTATTTTGTACACAGATAAGTATAAATAATTCTAAAATCCCAACGTAAGTACTTAAAAAAATGTATATGTGTTTAAAAAAATTTACAATTTGCTTAACTATAGCAGGGAAACAAGTATTTATAGAAGGGATCCAAAGATTTGTAGTTCGATTATTCGGTTCATATTTACTCACCAAATTTTCAGAGTTTTTCTCATTTACACAATCAGCGCCATTATGCTCTAAAGCATTGTCAATAACTTTTTCTCTTTCTTTATATTTATTATCTTTATCTTTGTGCTTTTCTTTGGATTTTTTATTGGTTGTACGTAAAGTACCATCTGGATTCTTTTACGAAAATTATTTGAGTTATTGTTAGAGAAATAACAACGGAACGGGGTAGTTAGTGGGAGCCAGGTTTTCAAAGAGGTGGGAATAAAAGTTAAGCCGATCAAGTTGATAAGGGTAAACGTAATCGATAGTTGTCACAACAGTTTTAGGGAGAATACAAATTTTGAAAGTGTTGAAGAAAGGAGATTTTAAATTTATCCAGAAAAGTAATATTTGTTGCAATCACAAGGGATATGATAAAGGTAATCGTAAAGGTAATTGCAGTGATGGTGAATCGTTATGGTGACCACAAAAGCAATGGTTATGGTAACCGGAATGGTAATGGTGATCGTAGTGGTAATAGTAATGGCAGCAGCATAGTAGTGGTAATAAAAAAATAATGGAAATAGTAGTGGTAATGAAATTGGTAATGGCATTCATAATGATAATTTAATGGTAGTGGTACGGGTAAAAGTAATCGTAATGGGTCGGTAGTGGTAATAGTAGCGATTATGATTACGGCAATGCCATGGATAATGGGAATGGTAATGATTATCACAATAGTAGTGGTAAAAGTAATGATAAAGGTAATGGTAATGATAAAGATAATGGTAAAAATAATGGAATGGTAATGGTGATGGTAATGGTAATGCCCATGGTAATGATAATGATCATGGTAGCAATAAGGGAATGGTAATGGTAATGATAATAGTAACGGCAATCGTAATGGTAATGGTAATGGTGATGGTAACGGTAATGACAATGGTAATGATAATAATCATGGTAGAAATAATAGAATGGTAATGGTAATGATAATAGTAACGGCAATCGTAATGGTAATGGTAATCGTAATGGTAAATGATGGAGTGGCAGGAGCAATGTTATACGGAATGGAAAAGATGATCATTGCATAACAATATGTGAATTGTCAAAAAATAGTTTGTATGGCGATTTAGTTGTCGATAGCATGAAAAAGTAGAAGAACAAGAAAAGTTAGAAGCATTAATTATCTCGAAAATGAAGTAAATACAATAGTATGATATTGTGAAAGTTGTAGTAGTTATGCATGTATGAATGTAAATATGGCACAGTTTCAATGTTTTAGAGGAACATTTTATCTATGCATTATTTGCCAATTTTGTAATATTAATTTTCGATAGCAAAATATCTAATGATTCATTTTAACAGCCGCTACTAATTTTTTTGGTATCACTCTATGCACAAACAGGCACACATCCAATGTCTGACATGTACCTACATACAAACTCATTGACGCATTTACGAAATTCTATAAGCTCCACTTACTTGCAGTAAATTTTGATCCTTTTTGAGACGAATTTGTGTCAAAGTGCCAGCCAGTAAGTCGTCGCAATTGTGATTGATGCCAGCCGAAACTTCAATGAATTTGGCGCCAAAAGTGCAAGCGACACATTTGCCATCTGTTAGAAAAGAAAAATTAAGAAAAGGAGAAGAAGAAGAAAAAACCAATTATAATGAATAAAGCAGAGGAATTCAAGGATAACATATGTATGTATGTATGAACTTGCATTAAGAAATTCCACGAAATGAGCTGATTTCGAAAAATTCGCTCGTTAAATTCGTGGTAAAAAGTTTGCTTTACATGCACGTATTTGCACAAACTTTCACTTCTTTTGCTATTTCAGCAAACTTTTCGTGCGGCATTGATTTCAGTGCATGCTCAGGCTTGTTTTTTTTTGTTCTTTTTGCTACGCGCGTGGTATTTGTGCATTCATTTTCTATTTTTCTTGCTGTGTTCTTCACAAACTTTCACAAGTTTGCTAAAAGTTTGTCATGTTAATCACATATTTGTGGTAGTTTTCGTGCAACTGGTGTTAGAAGTTAGTGAATGAAAGCACATTTGACTGCACAGATTTTGTTTCATTAGCACACCTAAGAAAATTCAACCAAAGTGGTTCAGGTGAGCGACTGAACAATACTGCGAATCATAATTGCGCCGGAAATCTTTAATGCTTAATGTAAGGTAGAAATTATAGGAAAAGCATACACACAAATGTAATTACTCCGGCGCATTCCAACATGCCAATCAGCGACTGAATTGATTTCGAAAGTCTCTGTGCGTTATTTTTAATTATCTACCTACAAACACCCACAACGGGTGTCCCACAAGTCCGCTAATTAATTTATTTTCAAGTGTGTGTGTTTAAGTGTGCGTGAAGTCAGCCAATTAGCTAAGCTTTTGCGGTGCCTACAAGTAGGCTCCAGTAGTTGCGTAATTTATTACTATTGAAGAGTTATTGAAGTGTGTAATATGTACATAATTAATGGGGTGGGCTGTTAAAGCTTACGCTTGAAAAACAATTTTTTGTTTTGAGTAAATGTAGAGAAGGACTTGGCTTCACTTGGCGTTTCCAATTGGTATCAGTTGGCACAGAAGAAACACGACAGGACATGCTTTGCTGAGGCGGTTACAGCACCAAATAAGAAGAACCTTAATATTTTTATTTTTTTTTTTAATTCCGCACAAAATGTATCTCACAGGTCAGACGCAAATATGGATGTTTCCGTGAAAATATAAACCAAAAATGCAAGTAAATGGGTTCAAATGACTTTATAACTGTAAATCTCGTATTAAGCTGACGAAAAGAGGTTATGAAACCGTGAAATAGTGGAGAGAAGAACTGTAATAATTATATGAAAAATTTAATTATTACATACATAAAGGGTGAACACACCAAAAATGACACTTTGGGAAGCTTATAACTTACCCAAAACGAATTAAATATTTTGAAATTCAAATACCATAAGTTGACCATGACCTTAGTTGAACGTAGAAGAAATTTCATTTGAATTTGATTCCTAGTTGAGTTAAAAATGGCAACCGAGCTACAAACGAGACAAACCATTTTGCACGAGTTTATAAATGATCCGGCCTTAAGTACACGTAAAATTGCTAAAAAATTAAAGAGTGCACTATTCGCCAGTTTGCAGGGTTTTAATCGGTACAAATAAGGCCTGACAGTTACGAGAAAACCAGGGAGCGGGGGTTAGCATGGTCAAAGTGATAAAAACAGTGCTCGGAAGGTCCTCAGTGCGTTTTCGCGAGATCCGAAGATTTTGTCGCGTTATGTTGCAAAATCCGTACGGAGATCGCAGTTTTTCGTACAAAAGGTAAAGCGGAAAGCTTCATTGAGATGTTCTACAGCTCAAACAGCGCCAGACCGAGGCGCA